CAACAACACTCAACCTCTGCTCAACCTTCTGCTGGGGGAGGAGGCCCTGCAGCATCTCCAGGTCCAACCATCCCACCCCACAAAACTCACCCAGCAGCACATGCAGGGTTTGTAACAAAAAGCAGAACCTTGAATAGGGTGAAAACCAGCAGATGAGACACGAGGGGGGAGCCCTGCAAAGGCAAAAACCTGTTACCTGCACCCACCTAAAAGCAACAGGGCCTTCTATCCTTTGGAATTTAACACCAAAAGAGGCATTTCGAGTCCAAAACCCCCAGAAGTTTCTGACACTGAGGAACAACCTCACTCCAGTGGGGAGAGGTTTGTCCAAGTCGTGATTTTAGACCCCAAATTGCTGAGCAAACACTGATCCTTCCACCTCAATCCCCTTTGGGGAAGGATCAGTTCGAGCCAGGAAGGAGAATATTCAGCCTGTGCTGGGATAAACCACCAAAATAACAGTGACCAGGAGAGCTTTTGATGGGTTTGGGTGAAAATCTGTGAGCTCTGTCGACTGCAGGACTCTCTCCTGCTCATTTCCACGGAACCCAGGACAATGGGACCAGGATTACAGGGTGTTACCCTGAGACAAATGAAACACAGCATTAAGGAAAACAAGGGTTGCCATGGAAACAGCTGATAAATGGGCACATGTTAAAAAAAAAATTGGCTTAATTTGCTTGTTTAAATGGGAGGGGAACTGTTTTGATCCTGCTTAATTGCAGCTGATCCTGTTTAATTGCATTTGCTTCCATCGAGTGCAGTGTCACTGTTGGAGCAGCAGGATGAAAATCCAGGGATTTTAGTGGGAAGCTGAGGCAAGGAGAGATGTCTGGGTTAATTTCCAGCTTGCTGAGTTATCCTTGCCTGGATTTAACCCTTCCAAAGGGCAGGAAAAGGAAAATGGAGAGGGGAAAAAGGGGTTTTCTCACCTGCTTGGCTCGAGTGGGAATAAAACCAAGCCTAGTGGTTGTGAAAAAAGGGGAGTTTGTCTTCTCCTATTTGTCCTTTCTGAGGTGCTAATTCTCATTTTAAGATCTCAGGGGAACGAGCTCCACGTTTAGCAGAGTGGAAAAGCAACAGCCAAGTGTGGAGAATCAGAAACCTGACTGGAATCAGAGCAACCAGATTGTGGGGGGCTTTAAATAGAATGGCAACTAATGCAATTAAAATGGGAGGGGGGAAAAAATGAAAAGGTTTAAAGCACCTTATGAGGGCATTGATATGCACTGAGGAGATTCTTAACTGGTTCTGCCTCCGGGGAAATGGAGAAAGAGAAAAGGGAAATGGGGAAAGAGAGAAGGGAAATGGGGAAAGAGAGAAGGGAAATGGGGAAAGAGAGTAGAGAAATGGGGAAAGAGAGCAGGGAAATGGGGAAAGAGAGCAGGGAAATGGGGAAAGAGAAAAGGGAAATGGGGAAAGAGAGAAGGGAAATGGAGAAAGAGAGCAGGGAAATGGGGAAAGAGAAAAGGGAAGGGGAGAAAGAGAGGAGGGAGAGGGATAAAGAGAGCAGGGAAATGAATAAATAGAGCAGGGAAAGGGGCAGGAGCTGCTCCCCTGAGCTCTCCCCTGCAGGGCCTGGGAGCAGCTGCCCTGCAGGAAAAGTGTGTCCTGCAGCAACCAAATCCCAACTCTCCCACCTTGAGGGAATTTCCTCCCTGGGCAGACGTTTGCCTGAGTCCTTCTAACAGCTTGTGCCCCTAAATATAGCTCCCTTTCAGCAGCACATTGTTTCCTTCCAGCAGTGGGGATGGAGATGACATTTTGTTGGCCTGGGGAATGCCATTAAACCAGCGTGGTTGTCCCAACATTTTTGCAGAGCTTTAGAGAAACCAAACGAAAGAATTCCCATTACATCTCCTCCTTTCTGCACTGGGGAGGATTAAAACCAGCTCGTCAACACACGCCCTGGATGTCCTAATTAACTCCTTTCCTCGTGGCTTTG